GGCATTTGGGGGCCAAGGAGCTGGGGGAGGGGTGGGCGCAGAAGGGCGTGGGGGGCTGGTCTGGTCCTGGTGAACCCAGTTCTGAGCAGAGTCCAGGCCTGTGGAGAGCAGCAGTAGGCGCCTGCTGGGCTCAGGTCTCTGCTGGGCGGGGGGGGGGGGGGGGGGGGGTTCAGCTTGCACCGGAGACCTCCGCCAGCGCACACACGGACCCCAAGGGCTCTGGGGGAGAAAAGATGGACGGGCTGGGGTCAGTGATTCAGTGATGCTCTCTGCCCGTGGACAGGATGGCAGCCAGGACGAAGCGTGGAGAGTGGATGCGGGCGAGATGGAGGGCACTCGGGAATGGTCAGCGGTGTGGGGGCTTGAGGGTCGGCGCGGCCCCCAGACGTGATGGGCTCAGGGTCCCGGGGAGCTGGGGTCAGACGGAGATGGGGTGCGCAGAGACACACACACACACACACATACACACACTCACTCACACACCCATACCCCCCACCCCCCGCCAGCGGGCTTGTCTGCCCGGGCAGTTCCTGGAAAGGAGCAGGGTGGCGTCTGCAGCTGGAGTCATCTGCCAAGGGCTGCCCCCCTCCATCCCTGGTTTCCAAGCTGGGGGGCTCAGGTACCCACCCCTGCAGCCCCGCCCACCCAGCACCCACTCCCACTCTGCCCCCACAAACCTGTTTGTGCCAGACCTGAGGGCAGATGATCTGGGGCAGGGGCCTTGGACGCCAGAGGGAGCACCAGGAGGGAGCGCCCGACCCTTCTCGTTCCCTCAGGCCCCTCCGTCTCTGGCCCAGGTGGGGAGAGAAGGGGCAGTGGGCCTGTGTGGGGGCATGGCCGGCTGCCCTGCTCTGCCCCTGCCCCTGAGCTGACTGGGGGCCTCCTCCACCTCCTTCCCGTCTGGGGCTGGCCCCAGCACGTCTGCCCTCCTTTACCTCCTGGGCGGCGGGCGGCCTGGTAGGTGGGGGCAGCGCTGAGCCTGTGGTCACTAGCCCAGGCGTCCTCTGGGGTCTGCCTGCGGGAAGGCCAGGGAACAAACCCTGCTGTGGGAGTCCAGTGACAGTGGAAAAGGCCAGCTAGAGTCCAGCAAGACTGTCCACCACTACAGCCCGTCACCCACAGCCTGACCACCCACAACCCGTCCATCCTCAGCCCATCCACCCATAGCCATCCACCCACACAGCTGTCCATCCACAGCCGTCCACCCACGCCCATCCACCCACAGCCGTCCACCTGGAGCTCCCGCCCTGTGCTCGCCACACTGGTCTGTGCTCGCTGGCCTGCCTCGGTCCTGCTGACTGTTTTGCCCCAGGGAAAGATGAGCAAACCTGGCACCCGGGCTGGCCTCCTGCTGGGCTGTGCCTCACTGCCCTGCCGGCCTGTGGGAAAGGGCAGGAGCCCAGGGCAGGAGGCCCCTCCACGTCCGTTCTCCAAGCTGCGCAGATGGCAGCGTGATCGGGGACATCCGCCTGCCAGGGGCGCCCATGCAGGGCGCCCACCCGCTCACCGGGCCTGGCCTTCCCGGGCTGGTGGGTGGGGCAGCCCCATCCCCTCTGCTGAGGGAGCCCAGTGCGTGCACAGACGTGTGCCCTATGCACACAGGTACACATGCATGAATGTGCATGTGTGCGTGTGTGTGCATGGGTCTTAGGGCGAGGGGTGTGTTGCCCGCCCACGTTCTGCCAGTGGGTCTTAGGGCGAGGGCTGTGTTGCCGCCCACGTTCTGCCACGTGAGGCTGCACTTTGGGAAAATATTTATGGACCGGCTCTGGCTCCGGGGAGGGCTGGCGGCCGGCAGCACACACACTCTTTATCTGCAGGATGAGGTTAGCTTCTGTTTGGGCCTGGTGTCTCCAGGAGGAAACGGCCGCCCGGGACCCAGCGCCGGTGCCTCTCGCTGGCCACGGCTGCCCCCTGCTGGGCGGCCCCGGGAACGAGGAAGCAGCGGCCAGGGTGAGCCCTGCTCTCCATGGGGCCAGGAAGAGGGGCTGTGGCCGGCCATCACTTCGGGCCGCTGGGCACAGACGGGGCCGCCCTGTCTCAGCCCCGAAGGCTGAGGCCCCAACCCATGCGACTCCAAACCCATCCTGGTGGGAGACCAGCCGGCCCCAGGGAGCGGGTCTATGGGAGTCTGAGGCCGGTCCTCACCCTGATTCCAGGGGGATCTTCCTGTCGGGAAGTGACCGGGAAGTCGGGGGCAGCATCTGCAGGACTGAGCAGAGGGGGGCGTGGCAGCCGAGGGCTGTTGGTGGGGCTGTTTCCGGATGACATTCCGGAAGTCTCCATCGGGAGGGCCCTGGGGGAGGTGGCGGCCGACCAGAACCAGCAGGCGAGCCCAGAGTCGGCAGTGGGGAGGGGGGGGAGAGGGAATGTTGGTGGGAGGGGGGAGGTGTGGGGAGCCTGTCCTCCGCCCCGGGAGGGGCTGCCTGGGCAGGGTCTCAGCAAGGGGGGGGGGCGGGCCGTGGATGAGGGTCTGAGCCCTGGGTGACTGCTACTCTGGCTCCCTCCTGCCTCTCTGCGGGCAGCAATGCTGCCCCTGCCCGGACATGGCGTGGACACCAGGCTCAGGTTCTGCGGCCTTGGAGGGTGGGGGTGGGGGGGAGCGGGAGCCCACGTGAGTCACTCCTGACTGAGGGTCAGACTCCCCCTCTCTGCTGCTGGCTCGCGGCCCCCAGTGGGTGCAGGAGCTGCCGTGGGGACCCCCCCCCCAGCCAGAGCTGGGCCCCTCTCCTCCCGGGGCCCTTCCTGACTTGGTCCTGGGAATCGACTGTTTGCAGGAGGCTGGCTGCGGCTGCAGCCCAGGGGCCCAGAAGAGGCCCCCCGGGCTGTGAGCCCCCAGGCCCACCCCACCTGGCTTTCATCTGCCCAGGCAGAGACTCCAGACTCAGAACCAGGGCGCGGGCCAGCTGAGCACCTCCACTGGATTTCAGACACCACCTCCAGCAAGCTGCCGAACTTTCAGCTGGAACCAGGCCTAACAGGAGCAGCCCTGCTGAGACGACCTTGAGGGCCCGTGGGCTTCAGGGGGGCCTCGGAACTGCACTGTTGGCTCCACCCAGCAGAAAACAGTCCAGACCCACTTAGCGGGCAAGGGCTGGTGACCGACAGCTGCGGGGACTTTCCAGCCTCGGCTCCGGAGAAGGAACGTCAGGGCAGCAGGAATTTTCCAGGAAAACGCAGACTCGACCCTTCCCATGGAGCAGGCCGGGCGCAGCCCACGGGGTCTTTGGGGCAGAGAGAGGATCTGCGAGGACACGCCTGCCTTTCCAGAACCTTCTATCCTCCTGCTGGAAACCGGGCCCTTCCTCAGTGCCCCCTGCTCCTCTCCCGACCCTCCTGGGGACGGGTGGGCCGGCAGCGGCCATTGAGGCCCTCCACGCGGCTGGGAGCATGCTCAGTGCCCAGCACACAGGACGACTAAGAACAGCTCCCTGAGACTCCCACTCAGGAGTGCTCATCTGGCAGTGCTCAGGGACCGAGCTGAGGTCGGCCGCACGCACAGCCGGTGCCTCCTGTGATCCCCTGGTGGGAGCACTTGTGGGCGCAGCTCTGCTGGCCTGCCCGGGAACGCGCTTCCTTCCTTCCTCTCGGACAGTCTCTGGCGAGCGGCCTCTGCGTGGCCCAGATAAGGAGCCCTTCCTGCTGCGCCCTGAGAACAAAGCGCCGTGGAGGCTGGTGACGCGGCCGGGCTCGCCTTACGAGAGCACCGAGGTTCCAGGATCAGAGCAGTGAGCGGGTCTGTGCGATGGTGGGCCCAGAGGGGCTCCCCGGGCCCGCACCCCAGCGCCTCTCTTTGGGCCCCCAAGGTGCCTCGAATGGGCGTTTTGTTGAAACTGGAAGGTGGAACCCGCCACGCTGCCGGGGCTCTGGTGGCTGCCCCCGGGGCGGCCTCCACACGCGGCCTCTCTAGCCATGGCTGCTGCGCGGGCCGGGCCGAGTGTGAAGGCCTGTGCTGGCCGGCCCGTCTCCGTGCCCCTTCCAGTGGTCGCGGTCCCGAGCCCACACCTGGCGGCGCCTGGGGCCTCTCCGGCGGGGCTCAGGGGGTCCCGCTGTGGGGACGTCTCTGCTCCGCTGCCCCCTCCCTGCCTGGCTGTGGTGGGGGCACACGCGGCCTCACATGCTGGGCCTGTGCACACGGTCGTGCTCCAGCTTGGGCGTGGGGCAAGCATGTGTGTGTGGGTGACCAGACACTGTCTGTGGGGCTCACACAGTCTGTCACGCGCTGTCTGGGGCTCGCACATTGGCCGTGGACCAACCCTGCTTCCCGGGAGCGGTGCAGGGCGTGGAGGCCGGGGACGGGCCCCTTCACCAGCTGAGGAGCGAGGACCCGGCTCCTCCTCCCCCGGCATGCAGGTGAGACTGCCAGCCGGACAGCACCTTCCGGGGGCCTGAGGCAGGGGTGTGAACACGGGAGTCTTCCTCCGTGAACCGAGTGGGCCGAGAGCCCCCCAGGTGGGGGTGCAGACTAAGCCGCGTGGCCCCCAGACGCCGCGGGCTTTGCTTTCCGGCCCCACCGCATCAGAAGCCGCAGTGAGCAGCCCCCTGGCCCCGGGCCGGCTCTGCTCGGAGCGCAGCACAGCCCGGAAGGGAAGCTGAGATGCTGCTGCCCTGCCTCGCACACGCACACGCACACACACACGCACACGCACGCGCACACGCACACACCCCTGCAGCCGGGCTCCATGTGTGCGGCAGGGGGAGGACCCTGTCCCCAGGCCGGGTGCCAGCCCCGCCCCGCCCCGCCCCTCCTGTGCCCAAGGAGCAAACAGAACGTCTGCGTGATGAGACGCGGCAGGCACAGCCGTGCTGGGATTCTGGCCTGGCTCCGGCCCTCGTGTCCAGCTGTGGGCTGCTCCCAGGCTGCCGTGGGGGCCGGACCTGAGCCTCCCCCTGAGCCCAGCCCGCACGGCAAAGCGCAGGACACAGGGACGCGGGGCCGGGGAGAGCGGGAGGCCTTTATTCTGGGCGGGGCGAGGGCGGAAGGCGCCTCCCGAGCGTGTCTCCCGGAGCGAGTCTTCAGGGACTCATCTGCAGGGCGGGGACTCGCCCCGCAGCTCCAGGTCCTGGGACAATTCCAGCAGGCGGAGCCGGGCCATCTCGGCCCTCGCCAGGGCCTGGTGTGGAAGGCACTGGGCCCCGGGGGCCGGCTCAGGTGGCAAGGACGGTGGCGTTGGCGCAGGCCACGGGGACACGGTTCTCGTTGGACAGCTGCAGCAGCACTTGGTATTCCCCCTGCGGGGGTGAAGGGTGTGAATGGTGTCCCCGCGCGGAGGGGCCTCGGTGGCCCAGGGAGGACCGGGGCTCCATGTCCAAGCAGGAGGCCCTGGCCAGAGGTCCTGGAGGGGCGGGGGCACGCCGGCCACGGGTGGGGGCCAGTGGGGAGAGCCCTGCGGAGAGGGGACGAGGCAGGGCCGGCCTCGCAGGCAGGAAGCCGCAGCGGGCAGGACGGGGTCCCAGTGGGCGGTGAGAGAGGATGGGGGTGCGGGGCGGGAGGCCTGGCAGGGGCCCTGCGGCTTCCCGGGGGCCCCTCTGTCCCGGGCTCCCTGCATGGAGCTGCGTGGTCGCGCTGGCCGTTGCCTGCGCTGGGGCCCGGCCACCGTGCAGGGGGCAGTGCCCGGTGTGGGCTGGGCAGGCCGGGAGCGCGCCCCAGGGGCGGCCCATCCCCGAGTGGGGGGAGGGGGGGGGGGCCCCGGGCACGGCGGCGGGCACGGAGCTGCGTCCTAGGGGGCAGCCGGGCTGCCCCGCCCGCGTGTCCGGGTGGGCCGTGGGACCGACCCGGGCCCCTGCAGGACTCTCCCGTCTGCGCTCTGCGGTCGGGGGCCGGGGGCCGGGACTAGAGCAGGGCCCGTGGCCGCGGCCAGCTTGGGCCAGCTCGGGGCCAGCTCGGGGGTGGGGCCTTGTCCAGCCCAGGCCGGGCAGCTCGGGGCGGCCCCCTGAAAGCCCAGCTGGGAAGATGCTGCCCCCCGCCCCCTGCGAACCCCTCTCCAAGGGGGGCTGGAGGAGACGGGCAGGCAGACGGACGCTGACATGGACCGAATCGGGTTGGGGTCTGCCCAGAAGACTCCGGAGGGGCCCGGCGGGCGAGGGCGGGGCCGGGAGTGGGCGGGGCCAGGCGAGGGCGGGGCCAGGGCTGGGCGTGGTTGGGAAAGGGCGTGGCCCGGAGTGGGCGGGGCCAGGCTGGGCGGGGCCGGGGCCGGGGCAGGCGCCGCCAGAGCGGGTGCGGGGTTCCCGAAGGCTCTGGAAGGGCGCTCTGAGGCTGGGCGGTTGGGGGTCGCGGCGGCCTGTGCAGGGGCCGCACTACTCACCCGGGGGACCTGGATCTTGGGGAGCACGACAGGCCCGGCATAGTAGATCTGCTCTGAGAGGACACAGGAGGCGACTCCCTCAGCCGGCGCGGAGACGAGGCGCCCCAACGGCTCCCAACGGCCAAGCAGCAGCGCCTGCCCGGCCAAGAGCCCGCCGGAAGTGACGACGCCGGCTCGTGCCGGAAGTGACGTCGGCGGCGCGGGCAGGAAGTGACGTTGGGCGGGGGGGGACTGCACAGGCGCCGAAGCCACGTGTGCAACCTCAGGCACGGGCCGAAGCCGCCCTTGCATCCTCCGCGGAGGGGCGTCCCGGGTCGGGCCGGGTGCTCAGGGAGGGAGGAGGGAGGAGGGGAGGAGGGAGGGAGGGAGAGGGCAGGAAGGAGAAAGGGTGGGTGGGAGGACGGAGGGAGGGAGGGAAGGAGGAAGGAGGAAGGGAGGGAAGGAGGAAGGAAGGGAGGACGGGGGGAGGGAGGACGGAGGGAAGGAGGCAGGGAGGAAGGAAGGGAGGACGGACGGAGGGAGGCAGGGAGGGAGGAAGGGAGGACGGACGGAGGGAGGCAGGGAGGGAGGGAGGACGGAGGGAGGGAGGCATGGAGGGAGGACGGAGGGAGGGAGGATGGAGGGAGGGAAGCAGGGAGGGAGGGAGGATGGAGGGAGGGAAGCAGGGAGGGAGGGAGGAAGAAGGGAGGGAGGCAGGGAGGGAGGAGGGAGGGAGGCAGGGAGGGAGGAGGGAGGGAGGAAGGAAGGGAGGACGGAGGGAGGAAGGAAGGGAGGACGGAGGGAGGGAGGCAGGGAGGGAGGGAGGGAGGACGGAGGGAGGGAGGGAAGGAAGAAGGAGGACGGAGGGAGGGAGGGCAGGAAGGAGAAAGGGTGGGTGGGAGGACAGAGGGAGGGAGGACGCAGAGAAGGAGGAAGGGAGGGAAGGAGGAAGGAGGGAGGAAGGGAGGGAGGGAGAAGGCAGGAAGGAGAAAGGGTGGGAGGACGGAGGGAGGGAGGAAGGGAGGACGGAGGGAGGGAGGCATGGAGGGAGGGAGGAAGGAAGGGAGGACGGAGGGAGGGAGGAAGGAAGGGAGGACGGAGGGAGGGAGGCAGGGAGGAAGGAAGGGAGGACGGAGGGAGGAAGGAAGGGAGGACGGAGGGAGGGAGGCAGGGAGGAAGGAAGGGAGGACGGAGGGAGGAAGGAAGGGAGGACGGAGGGAGGGAGGCAGGGAGGGAGGGAGGGAGGACGGAGGGAGGGAAGGAAGGAAGAAGGAGGACGGAGGGAGGGAGGGCAGGAAGGAGAAAGGGTGGGTGGGAGGACAGAGGGAGGGAGGATGCAGAGAAGGAGGAAGGGAGGGAAGGAGGAAGGAGGGAGGAAGGGAGGGAGGGAGGGAGAAGGCAGGAAGGAGAAAGGGTGGGAGGACGGAGGGAGGAAGGAAGGGAGGACGGAGGGAGGGAGGCAGCCCGCCCGCCCGCCCTCCCTCGGCAGGTCAGGCTGGGCAGCGGCCAGGCCGCAGGACACTCACCCCCCTTCCTCCGCCCACAGAAGGAAAACTTGGGCTGGTCGTCCTCACAGATGGGGTAGGAGAAGTTGAACACGGACGCCCCTTGGAGAAGAGCGCCAGCTCCAGAAACAGCTCCCGGATGTCCTGTCCTGCGGCCGGCGGAGGGGCCCAGGCTCAGCCCCATCGCCGTGCTGAGCGCTCAGAGGGGCTCCTTCTCCCCCAGGGAGCGTCTCTGCGGGGCGCCCGAGGTCAGCCTGACCCCCGAGGAGACCTGCCGAAGCCCATTCCCGTGGGGGCTGCGCATGGGGGCTGCAGCTCGCGGCTGCCGTGGGGTGTGGACCTTCTGCCCCCCACCCCCTTTTTTTCTCCATAGCTGCCCAGAACCTCGGCCCTAGGGACGTTCGCGTGTTTCCCTGGAGCAAGTCTGAGCACAGTGTCGGGCCCTTGTGCCCGGTAGCTTGGGTCACACTGTGAAGGAGACACTGGCCGCTACCGCAGTGTCCAACAGGAAACGGGCGGCACGCGGGTCCTTGCCCCCGATCTCTGGGACAGAGCAGGTGGGAGGAAGCCATTGTTCTTGTCCAGCCTCCAGAACTGACACGAGCTTTTGGGGACACGAAATCCTGCAAGCAAACAAGCCCTTGTGGGACTGGACTAGCTTGTCGCTGAGAAAACTGCAGCACAACTCAAGTCCTGGGAAGACTTGGTCCTTAGGCTCAAAATGTTTGCTTTGCTTTTTGCCGGATAAACTGGTTCCAGGGCCTCGTGCCACCCACAGGAGTGCCTGAATCTTCTTGGCAGAAAACTGCGGCTTGAAGTCAGGGCTGTACTCTTCCTGGATGCTCCCCAGAGGGGGAGGAAAGGAAGACAGGGACGGAGCTGGCTGAGGGGCACGGCACTGGGGTCCACCCCAGGGCTCCTGTGAGGAGTGGCAGGTGTGACAGGTAGGACGGTCGCTGTCCCATCCCCAGCCTTTACTTACTCAGAATGAGTCCGAATCGAATTTTGGGACTGGATGCCAGTTGTCTGGAGCACTGGTCCGCCGAAAAGCCAAAATCTTGTAATGGATCTGCCAAGGAGACAGATGATCAGGTTTGCACTCACTGCCCACCCGGCTGGACAGAGCTGGCGGTGCTGCGATTAGCCTGGCCGGACCCCGAGTGGGCAGCCCCCTCCACAGGGGACGAGAGAATCGCACAGGGTCTGGCGACTTCTGGAAGCCACCGAAATCTCCAGGGAACAGAGAAGGCGCCAAGTCTGCTCACACCGGTGCTGGACGGAAACGAGATTGACCCACCAACAGCCGTGGCGGGAGTCATGTCCCGAGTCACTAGCTCCAGGGATGGTCTTTCCACCGGGTGTGACTGCAGCGTGCCTCTTTCCCTTTCAGATCGGTCAGGACGTCCTGTTTCTCACCTTACTCTGCTGGCCGGCCCTTCAGGGCGGGGCAGGGTGGAGTGTGAGGGGTGCCCCCGTCCTGTTCCTTGCGTTAAAGGGGTCAGTTCCAGTGTGTGGCAGCTCACCCTGAGGTTCTCTGCAGAACCTATATTGTAGGGATTTTTTTTCTTGAAAGACCGAAAGAGCAGATGCCTGGAACTCAGTCTGATGGTCTAGGGTGGGCAAGAGCACTGTGGAGGGCCAGAAAACTCGCACGGCATGCGCTGGCCCGGGTTTGATCTCCAGCAGCTCCAAGGAACCCCGGGGCCCCACCAGGAGTGAGTCCTGAGCACTGCCGGGTGAGGCTACACAGAAGACCAGAAAGCACGCGGGTCTGAATTTGGCCTGTTGCCTCCACATGTTCCCAGCACAGCCAGGCTGCCCCCACGGGAACGTGCGATGCCAGCACCCAGTAGCCGTGTGCAGGCACCGTGTGGGCACCGCCATGATGGCCTGGAGAGCGGCCCTGGGGCCACGTGTGAAGCGCTCCAGCCCCACGTGTGAGCAGCTGTGGGTCTGGTGTGGGGGTCCTGTCACCACAGCTGCGGCAGCAGGGAGGATGGGAGAGAGGGACTGGGTGCCCACGTGGTGTCTCCCGGTTTCAGTCCGTTTACTCGAGTCTCCTCGGTCACCGGCTCCTCTGACAGATCAAGGCACTTCTTGTCTCTAGATTTTCTTCCTTCCAGGTCCTGACCTGTCCGTCCTTCTCTCTCCCTCTTTGTTCACCTTTCCTTTGCGTTCATTGCAGTGTTACTTTCAAACACAGGTTGAGAGGTTGTACACCCACATCCTAGGTTTTTAATACCTTAAGGTGTTTTCTGGGGGGTGGGTATTTGGTCATTTCAGGGTGCTCAGGGCTTACTCCCAGCTCTGCCTCTGCGCTCTGGAGTCACTGGGGTGTTGGGGAATCGAACTCGGGTCAGACGCGTGCAAGGCAAGTGCCCTCCCTGCTGTACTGTGGTTCCGGCCCCCTCTACCCTCGAGATGTTCTTTAACACGAATATTGACTCGAACCAAACTCACCATCGAACTACTCCAGCACAGTCTCTCTCTCTCTCTTTCTCTCTTGCTCACTCGCTCTCTTGCTCTCTGTCTCTCTCTGTCTCTGTCTCCTTACTAGCTATTTATGATTGAGGCTACAGAAGCACTTTCTGACATCAGAGTTACCTTCTGTAAGTGTCCAGTTCAGCATGCCGCCAGTCCAGGGTTACACTGTGGGTCGTGTTCACCATGCGGCCCAACACAGATACTGATGTTCTCGGGAAGCTAAGCATCTTTACCCAAGGAGAACAAGGGCCCCGTCCTTGGTGCTCCCCTGGCTTCTCCTCGCTGCTGGCCCTCCCACACTCGTCTGCATCATCCCTTGGGGCAGGGCCTCCACCGGCTTGCAGTGAGCCCCGCTCCAAATTCCTGCCCTCCCTGGAGGTCTGCCCTGAGCAGCAGCGCGTGCTGGAATGCGGCTCCCAGCACCGACAGGCCAGCTGCCTTCTGGTTCCCCTCGACCCCACGCTCCGCCCCACGGCGGCTGCAGGAGCCTCTGTGGGCCTCTGGCCCGCAGCCCCCGAGACCCTTCTTGGCTCCAGCCTGTGAGCGGCTGCAGGGCCTCTTCCTGACTCAGCGGGACGAGGTCAGGCCTGAGGGTCCTCCCCGGGGCCAGCGCCTCGTTAGCCGGGCGCAGCCTGATCTCTGTTTGCGGTCTGCAGCTGCTCGGCCAGGGGACCGGGCACGCAGCAGCGACGCCGCTCCTGGTGGGCTGCTCGGGAGGGCTGAGCTGGCCTCCCTCCCTCCGTCCCCAGGTCCCCGGGCGGTTCTTGGCTTGCCCCCGACTGGCGGCCTGGAACTCTGGGCTCGTTTTCTCTCTCCGGTTTCTGGTCAAAGTCCCTTTATGAGAGTCGTTGCTGGCCGCTGCGGATTGTGTGTCTTCAAAGCCTGCCTTGGGTTCTCAGTTTGAGTAATTGCTGCAGACAGAATTCCGGGCCGGTCTTTAGAGCACACCCACTTTCATTCACCCGCTGCTGCTTGCCAAGCTGTTAGCAGTCCGACGACGACAGCATCTCGTCTCGGCTGCTTCCCGGGCTGTTGCTGCTTCTCCTTTCTTTCCTTCGCAGGTTTGTGGTTGTAGTCTGGACGAGTGTTAGAATTCTTTTTATGAGTCTACCGTGGGAATTTGTGCTTGCACGGAGTAGAGTGGCGTGATTTAATTAGTCCTAGAAGATGCAGTGCAAGGCAGTGCCTTCCCGCCAAGCATGGAGCACTTGATGCCCGCCGAGGCCCCGCGTGTCCCCGAAGGCGCAGGGCAGAGGGCAGTGCCGCCCAGCTGGGGTCTCTCCACCCTCCCCTCCCCTCCCCTCCCCTCCCTTCCCCTCCCCTCCCCTCCCCTCCCTGTACTGGTCAGCAGACAAGAGCCTACACTTGGATCTCACTCAGCCCGAGCTGTGCCCAGAGGCTCCGGAGGGCAATTTGGGATGGGAAAGACCGACTGCCCGGCGGGGGGAGCACCCTGGCCCGGGACCTGTGCACTGAGGTCACCGTGGCCACCTCTGACCCGGAGGTTGATGTGGGGTGACCAGAACTCCTGCCTCATTGGAGGGGTCAGAGTGCTCGGGCGATTCTGGGAGTGTCTGGGAAGAGGAGGAAGGATGGTGCCCGCCGCCCGGGGCGGGGAGCTGGGCACCACCCAGAGACGTGTCTGGGCGTGTGAGAGGCCCAGGCTCCTCTCTGCGGCTCTCGAGGCCGGGGAGAGCGAGGGAGAGGAAAGCAGTTCTCTCTCTGGAGCAGTAGGCCCTAGGGAGGCCGAGAATGACCCAGAAACAACAGGAACTTGGAGAGCGGCTGCGAGCGTGGCTGGCCCCGGCCAGCAGTCCCCGCTCTGCCCATTTCAGTCCAGCTGAGTGTGCGCCCGCAGGCGGCTGCCACAGCGGCTCCACGCATGACCTGCCACGGAGGCCCCGCCCCACTGTAGAGCTCAGGGAAAGGGACTCGGCCCCTGACCGCGGGAGCGCCTGGTTTGTGGAAGAGGCGCTGGGGAGGGCCCACGGAGAGCCAGGGCTGGAAGGGGGCCGGGAGGGGGCCGGGAGGTGCATCCCGGGGACTTTCTGCCCATCCCCAGGGTGCCTGGCTGTGTCCCGCCTTCAGCCCTGTCTCCTGAGCTCCTGGATAATCCTGGGCTCCACCCCCCGCGTCACAGGTCCCTTGCACGGCTGGGAGCAGTTCCCCGAGCACAGACCTGGGAGAAGCCCCAGGGCTGAGAAGGGGCTTGCTTGGAGTCTGGCCTGGGCTGGAGGCCGGCCCCGGGCCCGTTCCTGCCCTCCACTCGAGACGCACCACCCAACCCCTCCCAGCACCCTCTCCAGACAGGGCTGACCCTCCCAGGCCCCGTGCCGGCACCATCCGCCCCTGCGCGGAGTTGGCCCCTCACCCCGTCACACGCAGGTCTTAAATCAGGGGGTGACGGTATCAGACTTGGAGCCAGTGGGACGGGTCCCCGTGGGAACAGGACAGACGCCCAGGGCACAGCCCCGGGGGCATGGAGGAGGCCCCCCGGGCACTTTCTGGGGCTCCTGTGTCTTTCTCGTGTGGCGTGGCCATGGCTAAGGCAGGCTAGGGAGGAAGAGGAAGGACTGAGGAGAAACGTCCTCCTGGGCACAACCGTCCTGGAGTGGTGGGGGGGGGCACAGGCTGGGGGCCTTTTCCCTGCCAGGGGCAGCCCCCGGCCACTCCACACCCAAACCCCACTGCCCTGGGGACTCTCAGGCTCCTCAGTGGACTTGGGCCTGCAAGCGCAGCACCCGGCACCCAGCACCCGTCCGCCGGCACCTACCGCAGCTCTGGTAGAATATCTGCAGGTCCCCACCGCTGCAGGCCGTGTGCGTGGGCCAGGCTCCCCCGCCGCCCGGGGCCCACAGCCAGGCACACAGCAGGAGGGCAGCTGTGCTCGTGCTCATGGCGGCCGCGGGCTGCGAGCTCGCCGGTTGGGGTTTCACTTCTCCTCTGCGTGGGCCCAGCCGGGCTCCGCCGACGCTGGTCCCCGGAGACCTCAAGCCTCACAGACCTTCCTCTGCATCCTCGGGGGCGAGTGGGTATGCCTGTGGCCACGCCCCCGGAACTGCCCTTCCTGGAGGGGGCCAGGGGCCAAGGTGTGCAGGCGCCAGGTCAGCGTCCACGTGGGCAACTGGGCAGTCTGGGATTCCCGCCGGGGCCCAGCAGGGGAGACACTGTGAGTTTCCAGAGCCCCGTTGGGAGGAAGGCAGGAGGAGGTGCCGACCCCGCCTTCGGGAAGCCATGTCCACTGTCTTGCGGCCCTGCTGGCCGCAGAGCCCAGTGGGCCAAGCCCTTCTTGCTTTCATGCTGCATCAGCCCCGTGGCGTGTCTGTGTGCTGGGGAGACGCCATGGCCTGGCCCACATGGGCTCCTGCTTCAGCCTCACCCTGCCCACCCCGTCCTCACCCTCCCACCTGGTCTTCTCCAAGAGGTTTGCTGCCTCTCTGCCCTGCAGGTGAAACTGCTTCTCGGGACACAGTCACAGGGGCTCGGGGGAAGGGGAGCCAGTGGGGCTGGTGGGGCTGCCCCCAGGCAGAGAGGACTGGGGGGGGGCTGGGGCAGGGCAGGGGGGAGGAGGGTGTGGGGCCGGGAGCTGGGGCAGGGCAGGGGTAAGGGTGGTGGGGGCCAAGAGCTGGGGCGGGGCAGGGGTGAGGAGGGTGGGGGCTGGGAGCTGGGGCAGGTCAGGGGTGAGGGAGTGGGGGCCTGGAGTGGGTGCTGGTGGGGCTGTGGCTGTGGGCGGGTGGGTGAGGCTCGGGGCCATCCTGTGTGCAAAGTGCGTGTGCTCAGGCCCATATAGGTTTGGGGACATAGCCTGCTAAGGACACGTGTGCACATGTGTGCATGCCAGGTGTATGCTCCCGTGTGTACTTGTTTGTGTCCATGTGGGTGTGTCGACATGCATCTGCATGCATGTGCGTATCTAACATATGTGCCTGCGCATGTAAGCACACGTTCACACGTGTGTATAATGTGCGTGTAAACATGTACGCATGTATGCGTATGTAACGTGTGTGTGTTTGCGTCTGCCTGTACGCCCACACTTGTGAGTAGGTGTGCGTGCATACATGCGTGCACTTACATACTGGTACTGGAATCTGTGTGTATCCTGCACACACGTGTACATGTGTGTGCCTGCGTGTCTGTGCTTGCTTGGAAGAAGACTGGGCTTTGCGTGTGTGCTGAGGGCGGCTCCGTGCTGTGGGCTGGAGCCTGTTTTCTGGCACCCCGGGGTGGCTGCAGAGGTGGAGACGTGCTCTCCCCGGGGAGCTGCTGCAGGGCGCCGGACTCAGGCACAGATTGGCCCCCACGGCTGTCCCTGGCTGAGGGGTGAGGAAGCATCACAGTTTCCTGTGGGGGGGGGCAGGCCTGGCCACGCCCCCTTCCTGTGCACGCCCAGAGCGGGGCCGCGTCCTCCGTGTCAGTTCTTGGGGCGCACAGTGGACGGCAGAGCATCCCACTGAGCTTTGGAGTCGAGTCTGTCCACAGCCTGCGGACGTCCAGAAGGCGCTTTACAGACGCCTTGGGCCCGACTGACCCGCACTGGACGGGCAGCCCCGTCTGCAGGGCACCAGCACTCTCAGCCACTTTATCCCCACTTGCCCACAAACACCCCTGCAGGTCTTGGGGAGGCGCAGCCGCAGCCAGTGCCAGGGAGGTGCCCCGGGGCAGCCCCCGCGTGTAGGCTGCTCTGAACGGTCGGCCCTGGGGACACGCCTCAGATGCGGCTGTCCCCAATTCCCTGCCCTTCCCGGTGCGCAGACAACCTGCGTCGACCCCCACGTGTCTCGGCAGGGCTGGCTGGAGCTGACGAGTGCTGGGTGGGCTGCACACCTGCACCCACCAGCCGTCTTCAGGGGCACCTCAGAGGGCACCAGCCCACGACTGTCTCGGCCCACACCACATGCAGGGCTGTGCCATTACCCGAGGGCTGCGCCACCACACATGGGGCTGTACTATCACCCGTGGGGTTATACTATCACCTGTGGGCTGTACCATCATCTGTGACTGTTCCATCACCCGTGGGCTGTGCCATCACCCTTGGGGCTGTTCCATCACCCTTGGGGCTGTTCAATCACCTGTGGGCTGTTCCATCACCCTTGGGGCAGTGCCATCACCCGTGGGCTGTTCCATCACCCTTGGGGCTGTGCCATCACCCGTGGGCTGTGCCATCACTCTTGGGGCTGTTCCATCACCCGTGGGCTGTGCCATCACCCATGGGACTGTGCCATCACCCGTGGGCTGTGCCATCACCCGTGGGACTGTGCCATCACCGGTGGGCTGTGCCATCACCCGTGGGCTGTGCCATCACCCATGGGACTGTGCCATCACCCGTGGGCTGTGCCATCACCCGTGGGCTGTACCATCATCTGTGGGGTTATACCATCACCCATGGGGCTGTTCCATCACCTGTGGGCTGTTCCATCACCCGTGGGGCTGTGCCATCACCCTTGGGCTGTTCCATCACCCGTGGGACTGTGCCATCACCCTTGGGACTGTGCCATCACCCGTGGGCTGTGCCATCACTCTTGGGGCTGTTCCATCACCCGTGGGCTGTGCCATCACCCTTGGGGCTGTTCCATCACCCTTGGGGCTGTTCCATCACCCGTGGGCTGTTCCATCACCCTTGGGGCAGTGCCATCACCCGTGGGCTGTTCCATCACCCTTGGGGCAGTGCCATCACCCGTGGGCTGTTCCATCACCCTTGGGGCTGTGCCATCACCTGTGAGCTGTGCCATCACTCTTGGGGCTGTTCCATCACCCGTGGGCTGTTCCGTCATCTGTGGGCTGTGCCATCACCCATGGGACTGTGCCATCACCCGTGGGCTGTGCCATCACCCATGGGCTGTGCCATCACCCGTGGGACTGTGCCATCACCTGTGGGCTGTGCCATCACCCGTGGGCTGTGCCATCACCCATGGGACTGTGCCATCACCCGTGGGCTGTGCCATCACCCGTGGGACTGTGCCATCACCCGTGGGCTGTGCCATCACCCATGGGCTGTACTACCACACTTGGGGCTGTGACACCTTCCAACCGCCCTGCAAAGGCTGGGCTGCAGACAGGCTGTACTCCAGGACAGATGTGAACAGATGTTTGCCGATGGGAGAGAGTGGGGTTCTGGGCGGGGGAAGGGTGGATGCAGGGGTGAGTCTGCATTGCAGGCTCCTGAGTCTGAGACGCAGGATGCAGGGAGGGTCATTCATGACCCTCCGACAGGCCCTGGAGTGCGGGGACAGAGACTGTGCCTGGGCCCGGGGGACTCAGCTCCCTCCTGGAAGTCGGGCCTGCTGGGGGAAACAGGCATGGAGGCCGGGGGCGCTGGACATGCGTGAAGAGTGAGGGGACCCTCTTGCCGGCCTCAGCTGCTTCTGTGTGTTGCTTGAGCCCTGGCCAGGGTCCCCTGGGCTTCTGCCCCCAAGGAGAAGCTGAGACTTAACGGGACTCATCCCCTTGGACAAGCAGGGCGTCCTCTGGGACCCCAATATTGAAGAGTCAGAAGACTGCCGGTGGGGAGAAGTCGGGGCACCTGCCCAGGGCCCTCCCGTGTCCGGACCCCGGGCATGCGGTGGACAGGGCAGATGCCGCTGACCGGGGCCTGATTTGCAGCCACCTGACTTGCCTGGGTTTTAGTTGTGTCTGGCTGTCCTGGAGCTTCTGGGAGCTGTGAGACAAACTACGGTTTGGAACCAACTTAAGGTCCCCTGCAGACACTCTCCTGCGTGACGCGGCGCCTCCTGCTCCTTTAGCTGGCCTGGCCTCTCCAGCTGGGCGGGGCTAGGGGGACGGTCCATTTAGTCTTAATTTGTTTTCGCTCTGGGGCCACTCCTGGTGGTGTCCAGGGGCTGCCAGTGCCAGGGACTGAGCCCAGGCCTCCCGCATGCCCCGTGTGGGCCCTCCCGGACCTAACCCGCCCCCAGCATTGCCTGCACGCTCTGGAGAGCAGGGGCGGTTCCTGGCCTCTCCCCTATGGCCAGCGTCCCCGCCTGACCCTGCGCTCCCCATGTAAGAGCAACTCGTCCAACGAAGGGCCTCGTGGTTTTCATAAGGGGATGTTTGGGAGCTTCGTGGAGAGGAAGATGGCAGGTGACGGCCACGGGCCCGGCTGGGCGGGGGCACTTCATGGTTTACACGCAGGAGGCCCAGTGGCCCCACCCTTGCACACAGGAGGAGTGCAGCCCCTGGACACTGCAGGGGGCTTCCCCGGAGCTCTGGCCAGCTGGGAGCCTGGAGTTAGAATAAACGGCCAAAGCGCCTCCACCGACCTTGCAAATGGGACCTGGTGCCGCCCAGGGCTGGGGGAGGGCGGAGGCTTGCGAGGGGGTCCTTGTGTTTCACTGTCCCAGCTTCACGGGAGCAGCTGGACCCTGGAAAGGGGCAGAGCGTGGTGGTCCCAAGACTCCGGGACCCTCCTCCCATCCTCTGACCCCCTCTCACCTTGGGCAGGGGCTGCCTCCCGTCTACGGGGCCAGCGCTGAGATAAACTGCCGAGACCCGAGACGAGGGCCAGGCCCGGGGCAGCTGTGGATGCATCTTCACGCCGGCCAGGACACGGGGGCAGAGCTGCCCCACACACCACCGCCCTGGCCCAGCCTCCCGGCGGGCACCATGGGTGTCTGTGTCTTTACCGTCCTCACCCCAGGGTCCTGGGCTTCTGCAGCTCAGCCTGAGGGGCCCAAAGACAGACAAAACACCCACAGCCCCGCGGTCTGCAGATGGTGGGCACAGCAGATGCTCTTCCAGGCCACGGGCAAGCGCATGGCCGCCCTGTCTCTGGAGAGAATGTTCTGGATTCACCAGCAGCAGCCGACTGGGCGCTAGTGGCTGGCGTGCCCGGCCCCAGTCCGCTGGCCGCTCCGGGGCCTCTGCCCCTGGGTCTGTCTCAGGGAAGCGCCTGAGTGGGCTGGTGTCCCCCCAACCCCCCGAGCTCGGGCTGCTC